GGCTGGCTGGCATGTGGTGCTGGGGGATCGAACCGCGGTCCCTGTGCTTTGCCAAGCTTGTTTCAAGTAGGTGCTTTAGACCACTGAGCCATCTGTCCAGCCCCTAAATACTAATTCTTTATAAATTAAACTCTTAAGACACATAAGGGGAGAAAAACAAATTTAGGGCTTGGGGAGATAGCTCAGTAGAATAAGTGTTTGCCTGGCAGGCGTAAGGGCCTGAGTTCAATCCCCAGTTCCACCAAACAAACAAACAAACAAACAACCCCAATAGCAATTAATAGTAAAATTATCTCAGCTATCGTGTGTGTGTGTATAATACCCTTTTTTTCTCCTTTCTCTCATCCCAATTGTTCTTTCCTATTGAGTAGTTTTGGGGTCCAGGAAGGTGGCTCAGTAGAATAAATGCTTCCCTAGCAAGCGCAAAGGCTTGAGTTCAATCCCCAGTTCTGCAAAAAAAAAAAAAAAAAAAAAAACCAAACCTATTGAGTAGTTTCTTTCCCTTTCCCAATATCTATTATACCTTTCTGATTTTATTTACTCTTTCAGTTTCTTAACACTATACACTATTTATACAAGCAGATCTGATTTATTTCACTTATGAATATGGTTTCTGGTTGCATCCATTTACCTATAAAACTATTTTTCTTTATAGCTGAGTAATATTCCATTGTATAAAAATACTACATCTTTTTTTATCTATTCTTCAATTGATGGGCATTGGGGTTGTTTGCAAGATTTAGTTATGACAAGTTGCGCAGCTATAAACATAGGTACACATATATCACTGTGGTATGACTTTTTCAATTCTTCTGGAAAAATACCCAGGAGGCATATAGCTGAGTTGAATGAATCCTAGTTTTCTGAGGGATTTCTACCCTGGTTTCCATAGTGGTTGTACCAGTCTACACTCCCACCAACAGTGGAGAAGGGTTCCTTTTCCCCAACAGCCTGGACAGCACTTAATATTGGTTGATTTGTTGATGATAGCCATTCTTTGTGGGGTGAGGTGGTATTTTGTTTAATTTATATTTCTTGAATGACCAATGATGTTCAACATTTTTTCATATATTTATTTGCCATTTTTATTTCTTCATTTTTGGATTGGGTCTTTGAATTTTGGGGCCTGATTTCTTTTCTTTCTTTTGTCTTTTTGCGACAGGGTCTTACTGTGCAGTTCAAGCTGGCAATTGAGTTCAGTTGTAGCCCAGGCTGGTCTCGAACTCATAATGATCCTCTTGCCACAGCCTCTCAAATGCTAGGATTACAGGCATGCAGCATCACACCTGGCTAGGTGCTTCTGGTTTGTTTGTTTGTTTGTTTTAGGACTTGAACTCATGACTTTGCACTTGCTAGGCAAGCACTGTGCCACTGAGCTACATCTGTGCAGGCCTGATTTTTAAAAATTCTTTATATGTTCTAGCTATAAGTCCTTTGTCTGAGAGACAGTTGGCTAAACTTTTTTATTAGTTTTCTTTTTATTCTGTTGGTGATTTTTGATGTGTAAAAACTTTAAGATGAGATTCCAGTTGTTGATTCTTTGAAGTATTTCCCTTGCAGTTTGGTTTTTTGTTCATGAATCCTCTACCTACCCTTATGTCTTTAAGATTTCTATCTACTTTCTCTTCTAGTAGATTTAGTGTTTCTAGTTTAATATATAGATATCTGATCCATTTTGACTTTAGTTTAGCGCATGGTGATAGACATGAGTCTAGTTTTAATCTTAGGCATGTGGAAAGCCAGTTTTTCCAACACCATTTATTAAAGAGGCTAGTTTTTTACTAGTAAACATATTGGGCCCTTTTGTCAAAGATAAGGTGGCTGAGTGTGTTTGTAGTCTGTCTGCATCTTCTGATCTGTTCCGTTGTCCTCAGGTCTTCCCCCCCTCCCCCCGTATGATGCTGATTTTTTTTTTTAATTTTATTTATTTATGTGTGTGTGTGTGTGTGTGTGTGTGTGGCCAGCTCAGCCCACCAGGGGGCGGGGCTGG